CCCCGAAAAAAATGGGGGGGGGGGGGGGGTGTCAAAGGTTTAATCTTTCCACCGCCTCTTTTCAGCTAAACGGGTCCTCCAATGGAGGGAATGCATAAGCAAACTGTTTAGAGTCTCAAAAGATGAACGTTGCTAGCAAAGAGAAGAACAAACACAATACACAATAAATATAACTCAGACAATCCAAACATAAAGCAAGTAGTCTTGAGACTTAGAATCACTACATCTTAAAACCCTCAAAACTCTTAAGAGGTGGGTCAGCCTGTTAAAGAGATCTTAGTCTTGAAATCTGGGTAAGAGGCATTGAGTTGTTATTACATCTGCAGTCCTCAGAGGGTGCCAGAGGAAGTCATCTTAGAATAGACCTCCTCCTCCTCTTTCATCCCCCTCCTCAAACAGAGACTTATAATATTACTTAATCAGAGAGACCAATAGTCAGAAAGGCAATGTTCTTGTGACATTGTCATAATGCAGCTTCCCTTTTCTTACAACAATACTTAGATAAAAAAAGTTTTTTGGAATAATAATTTTTACTGATCGTGAAAATGCACACAGGCACCTGCATAAAATTGTGGGGGGGGTGCCATGGTGCCCATGGGCACCGTTGCCTTGCACACTTCTGTAACAAACAGCGTCAATAATTAATATGCCAATCACGAAGCAGGCTTAGATTTTAGGAGAAACTTTAAACCTTAGCAAGCAGAAAATTGCAATTTGGAGTCTCTTCGAGGCACTTTTTGGGGTTTTTTTAGCCATGTCACCACTAATCTAAATACAGAGCAGTCAAGTAATGAAAAATAAATGGACCCTAAAATGTCTACGTTTTATTAGACGTTTTTATCTTCCAAGAAGCCACATTGACCACTGTCAAGCAGATATGGGGTGTTATGACAGCCAATACAACTTCTGGGCTTGGAATAATGCAACTCAATGAACCACTGGTAAGGCAGATTGATGGCCTTGGGGAATCATCCTATGGAGGCTGGGTTTTTCTGGCTAGGGTTAACCCCTGCCAAGGGAAAGATTTCTTGGGATTTCTACCAACAACTTCCAAGAGGACTATCAATTCAAAACAACCCTCTCATTAGAAAGCCTGCCCACCTGGTTAGGAATTTTCAATTGTACTGAAAACCAAGGAACAGATGCAGAGACTCAGAAGTACCCAGAGAAAAAGAAAAACCTTATAACTTCTGCTACCAGCAATGGCCAACAACTGAAAGGCTGTTTCCTTTGTAGGGTAATACAGCAGCTGAAAAACAGCACACTGCAGTAAGATCAACGAGACAGGAAACATAAGACTATACTATACCCCAGTGCAAAATGCAGAGGGAGAAGAGGCTGGCAGAAGGTAGCTACATGAAAATTAGAAAGACAGCAAGACAGGCTAATTCCTGAATTGCCTGCAAATTATTTCTAGCTCTTTAGCCCAAAAGTCCAAGCTTCTCTTTTAACTTCTCCTCCCAAAGGAATTCTTGAATAGCACCAAGCCCAGATATGGGCCTGGCCCAGACTCTAGAGCAGGTCTACACGCCTTTCATCCAACTACTAGCACAGCTCAATTCTGTTCAGCTTGTGATCTTTGATGATCACAGCTCCAGAGGTCCGACTACAGGGAGGAATAGTTCGTGGCTCATGTCTGTTTCGATAATTTAAAATTCGCTGCTTGGAACTGAACGAGCAGTGTCTGGAGGCATTCGGGAACAATCAGCAGCTTCCGAATGAGCAAAGGCTTGGGGTGTTATTGCCGAGCAAGCTGTTAGCTCTTATGGTGTGATCTCCTGGCAGGTGAAACACAGGAAGCGGGAGAGACAGCTTACATAAATGACATGACTCAAAAGAAGACTGATCCCTCTTTACCACACGTGCGTGACAATCCCAGGCAGGGGCCCTGCCTCAAGGATGCCATAGAATCAGTTATGTTCAGTGATGATGTCATATTTCTGAGTCAGGACTGATCAGGACTATTGCATTCTCACATTAGCGGCACATGTTTGACATGAAATTCAGAACTAACCTCCATTCAGCACTTGGTGGATATACACTACTACAGCCAGTACTCAAGTAGGGAGAAGGCCAAGCCACGGTTTGAACCACCTGAGCTAACAAAAATCTCTCTGCTTACTTGTGCCTACGTTTAAGGGTCAGTTCTACTGCAGTGATGTCAATAGAGATAAGGCATTACTCAAATGGGTGATAATGCTTTAGCTTGACTCTACAGAAGATCAGCAGGAACTAAGAAATGCCTTAAAATGTTTCTTAAATGCTTTAACGCTCCCTGCTCCCAACATCTAAATCACAGAGACCAAGACTTGTGGACTTGGTCAGGAGGAGTGGAAAAACAATGGTGACAATGGGGCAGCTGTACAAGGCAATATGGGCTGCTTGATTCAGATAAAATGGTTTGAACTAAGCCAAATGGAAGCTTATAGAGCTAGAAAGAAGGTATTTCCCATCCCTTCTCCTCCTGGACCCAGCTGGCTGACTCAGGGTGCTTGCCTGTGGCTCTAACCCCAGGCCTTCTCCACAGTGGTTTTCCTTGGTGGCCTCCTGGACAAGTGGTGACTGGAGAGGATTTAGGGGTTCTAGAGGACAAACAACTCAGTGTGATGCCCTGGTTTAAAAAGGTCTGTGTATTCCTTAGATGTATACCTGGCGGTTAAGGAGAAGGCAATTCTACCCCAGAAGACTGCATTGATAAGATCATTGCTAGAGTCTTGCATGTTGTTCTGACAGCCACATTTTAAAGATGATAATGAAGAAACAATGGTGCAAAGAAGAGCCACACAAAGAGTTTGAGGGATGGGGAAAAAAAGAAGGTGCTTGCTGCACCACTGAATACACAGTTTACCACTGTGTTTCTCAACCCGAGTGCTGCAAGATCTCTTTAAGGGTGCCTCACAACGTCAGCACCGTTAGACAAGCAAACACCTACACAATTCACAAGATAAACCTAGAGATTTCAAACAGGAATCTAGCGTGTCAAAAACAGTCTGACTGGTTATATTTTTCTAAGTCTGTTGCAACTGAAGAACTGCTCTAGTCTTTTTCCATAGCCAAACAAGTGAAGACTAAGAACTGGCATTTTCCAAGGGGTGTTTTGAATCTAATGAAGTTGAAAACTACTGGCTTAAGTGAGAATTAGAAGGACACTTGCCCATGGCATACAACTACCTTCTACAGGGAGAAATAACAGGTGCTGAATGAAGGTCTCTTTAGCAATAAAATTGTAACAGGAACAAAAACAAGACAAACTGAAAAACTTTCTTCTTTCAGTTGTGTGAGTGTTTGACATTTTGCATCATTGTATTGTCAAGAAAGCCCAGTCTTGAACCACTGTAAACAACTTATGTAGGAAGTGAGGGATTCTTTATCTTGATGCATTCAAGACAAAACCGGGCGTTGTTTTTCAGAAAGATGTGCCTTAAAAAAAAAATGCAAGTCATTATTGGGCTCACTTCTAGGGTATTTCTGTAGCACAGTGGGGGCCAAACTTTTTGGCAGGTGTCAAAACTTAGCCCAGCTTCCTTCTCAAGTACCACTCTGATCCCACTACCTGCCCAGCCTGCTCTGCTTTCTGCTGCCTACCCACCTCCAATCTCCCATGTGTCAAACACAGATGCTGCCTATGTGACTTGTGGCACAGACTGGCCACC